TTAATTCAAACTTGACATGTAATACAAAAGGGACAATTTTAAATAGTTTCAAATATGATAATTACGAAAAAAAAGAAAAAAAAAAAAAAAAGAATTTTTATTCTTCTGAAAATGAAATCAGCTTACTGCTTTTTAGTACAATCATTTCTAGAGCTTGTTGAAGATTTTATAATTGCTATAGAACCTCCCGAGGAGCAATTTAATGAAAAACATTCCAATGTACCCGTACCTCTTCTACCAACGGAATGCATGCAAGAGATATTCAAAAATATTCAAGCTCAAGGTTCTAGATTATACCCTTGCCTTTTGGTTAACCGATATTGGTGTAAAAATGTCGTGCACCTACTATGGTCACATCCTTTTGTTGAAGATTTATCACCAGAAAATCGTTGTAAGTTAATTCATACATACCTTGCTTGCCTAGATCGCGAAGAGAATTTAGGCTTAAACTCTCTATTACGACCTTATAATATTGAAATTCCCGATACGAGGCAACCAATTTTCAATTATCCAATGTGGTTGGAAGAATTTTCTTACAAACAATTGGAAATGGCAGTCCATTCCACCATTCACATTTGGTGTAACAAAACATTTACAAGTCGTCATAAAGAAGATCAAATCCTCTTGATCACGACGACGCTTTGTAAACTATTTATGAGGCAGTCCAATTCTTTGAAATCTTTCATCATCGATAAATACTTTAGTCACTCGGATATTCCGCAAGTTTCCACATTTGCGCTCACGCTACCGGGGCTAAGTCAATTGACCAGATTTCAAATTGATTATAGTAAACCAATGACCATAAATACCATCCAATTGGTAGAAATCTTACCAGCCTTATGTTCAAATATACGTTGCCTTGATATAAAATTTCACAAGTATGAATATAATCTTGACAAAGCGATTTCACGTATAATTAGAACTCAAAAAGATTTGAATGAATTTCATATATCAGGAATTACAAGTAGCGAAGAAATCCTTTTATCGTTGCCATCACGCGAATCCTTGAATACAATTAAATTAGAAAATGTATACATTACGGAAACTGGTTTTGATGCTTTGGCTCGTTGTAAAAATTTAAGGCACCTAAGTTTATGGGATTGTAAAGATTTCGTCTTGGAAAATTCTTCAGTATTATTACAGTCTAAATTTTCCTTAAATGAATTGAAGTTAGGACTTTCTTCATCTTGTAATAAATCAGGGTTAATCTTACACGTTGGAGGTTCTTCACTTAAAGAGTTAGAGATCGATTTAATTAATTCAGATATAGTTGAAACGATCTTAAATTTTTGTTCAAATGTTGAAAGATTAAAATTAGTTAATTTACCATTTGATGATGATCATGACGACGCTATTTTATTCCATTCCTTATTTTTCGGTTTAAACTTGAAAAGGTTGGAAATCTTTATCGATTCAAAAAATTCTGATTATGAGCAATTTAGAGTGACTGGTCAAGTTTTACCCCCTTCATTAAAATATTTGAAATTAAAATGTGGTTTTACATTGGAAAGATTTACTGAATTATTTAAAACTTGTAGCGCCCCTATAGAAACCATTATTGTGGATTATTTAGGTTGGGATTATAATCATTTGAAAGTTATTACTAGATTTATAAAAAGTAAGAAATCGGTTAAAGTATTAGGAATTGCAAGAATGGATCGTATGACCTCACAAGAAGTTAAAGAATTAAAAAATTTAAAGAAACGTTATGGAGTTTTCATAATTCCATCTCATGAGCTAGATCTGTGGTGATCGAAAATTGGCAAAATTTTGATGTTTTAAAATAAATAAAATGTAAAATCTTTTTTTTTTTTTTTTCTTTTTTTTCGAAATTATCATATTTGAAACTATTTAAAATGGTCCCTGTTGTATTACATGTCAAGTATGAATTAAAATTAACAAAATAATAAAAATCTTGCTTATAATTATTGCAAATTAATATAAGATTATATAAAGTTGTATAAGTTTATAGATTTTACAAGGGAGTTTGATTCACCTAGCTGACACTCATTTTATCAGCAATAATTTTATTAACAAACACTTTGCTGATATAATCATTTTCTAATAATCATATTTCTAAAAAAATCATTAATTAACATAATTATATAACTATTTATAAGCTTTATATATAATTTATTTTAAAAGTTATAGAATTATCAATAAATAAAAATTTCAGCATAGAATTTTAAAAAAAACATTATTATATTAATTAATATTTAAGTAAAATAATATAATTATAAAAAAATATAGAATCTAAAATATATTAACTATTCTATAACTTTGAAAATAACTACAATATTTAATATTAATAATTAATTATGTTATAATAATAATTATATCTATAAAATAATTATATTAGTAAAATTAAATAATTAATTAATTGTTAATAAAATGAGTAAATCCTTTTATAAATTTTTATTTAATGTAAATTTATATAAGATTATAATATAAGTTTTTACAAATTTATATAGATTTATTTTAAAAATCTAATTTTAGAAAATTTAAAAAATTTTAATTTTATTACATTTTAATATTATAGAAATTAACTAAAAAAAATATTGCAAAAGCCAATTAGCATTAATTCAATTTTTAAGCAGACAAATATCAGGATACTTTACATAAACATATATAATCCTTCACTTCATTTTAAACTAATTAAAATATAATAAAAATTTTAAAATTCTTATTTTCTAAATATTTTCCTATATATTTTTGTAAAATTATACTTATAAATTATTTTATTATAAATTATAATTAAAATAGCTAATAATAATTATTTAAAAATAATTATTTATTTATAATTTTTATTCTATTTATATATTATTAAAAGACTTATATTAATTATTTAAATTAGCATTTTTTTTAATAATAGATTTTTAATTTTATTTTATTAATTTTCAAAATTAATATTATTATTATCGGTTCTTTAAGATACTTATAAGTATAAATAAAGTGATAATTCAAATAGTAAGTAGAAGTTTAATTTTATAATTGATTTTAAAAGTAATATTAATCAGTAGATGGTTTATATAATAATGATAACAATTGAGTACTACCTTAGTTAGTGTTTTGTACTGTACAAGTATATTAAAGAAATAAAATAAACTATTTCATAAACTATCTCTAAAATACACTGTTAAGCTAAAAAAAAATGTTTTCTATTTATATAAAGAAATAAATAATATAAATAATATAAAATAAATAAAAATAATATATTACATAGAAGAAATAAATGGTATAGATAATATAAAAAACATGAAAGACATAAAAGATTTCTTAGAGATTGTCATCTTCTCTTAGATCATTATCATCAATGTCTTCTCTTTAATATTTTTTATACTTATCAATTATAAATTTTTTAATTAATTAAAATTTTTTAATATTTATTTTTATATTTTTTTCTTAATATTTGCAAAAAATTTTATTATTAAATTAATTATAATTAATTAAATATTTATTTTAAAAATATTTTTTAAAAAAAAGTTAATATAATAAAAATAAAATTATTTTATTTTTTAACTTTTATAAAAAATTAGTTTTATAAAAAAAAATTAGTAAATAATAGAAATCTAAAATTTTATCTATTTTAATCTTTAAGATTTTATTATATATAAATATTTTACAGTAAAAAAAAGGAAACTACCAAAAAACTTTTTAATTTTAAAATAAATTCAAATTTAATATTAATTAAAAAAAAAAATTTAATAATTTTCTTCTTTCTATTACAAAA